TGGACCTGGCCTTAGCTAGACACTGCATTACCTCGGACAGAGCAAGCGGCAATGCATTACCCGATCCGGGATAATGCAGTGCCCTTTTCCCGGCCGGCAAGCTCTGGGAGGGTTCAGCTGGAGGATTTTCGCCTAGCCAATTGTTGGTTAACCCTCATATAAATAATTTAACATGTTAAGATACTAAAATAAACTTTTTAGTAAATCACTATTCAATCCGCTGACTGAATTTTTTCTTAACGATTCCGCTCTCAATCCGCTGCAGACCGAGGTGGCCACCTAGGGCGATTCGGACTTTCGAAGTTAATACAGTAATACCAACTTTTTTAAGTAGAATTCGGAGCAATATATTTAATATTAATTATATTGAAAGAATTCTGTTTTTCTTTAATTAAGCATTACAAAAAATAGCTCATTGTAGTAAAACTTCCTTTACGTCAAACGTGTGCATACTTTTTATGCAAATTGTGAAAACATTTGTAGTCATTTGTAGTTCTACCAGGTGGCATCGCTTCAAAATGCCAAAACAAAACTTACAAACCATATTGCCTTTGCATTTATGTCAAATACCCCTGTTCGGCTAAGCGCAGACCCATAGCAGCACAAATAGAAGCATAATATAATGATCGCTAATTATACCAAAAATTGGTAATTGTAATGAATTAAATTAGCAGTAGTTTGAGAAGACAATCACAAAAACCACATACGTATCGTCTGAACGTGAAAACGAGTCCGATGCGCACCTGAGAAGCCTGCGCTGCAAGGTTTGTATTCTAATATGTTGACTCCGTAGTTCTTCGATGGCCAACAGTCTCGTTAAAGGCATTTTAATTAAATTTACCGTAAAATTCAGATGTGCGTTTTTTTTTTACAGCTGATTGCTGCCATGCGTGCAGAGTTGCCAGACAGCTGCTAGAGTTGCCGAGTACATTGTTTTGTTTTACTCGCACGATTTGGGATGTTTTTTTTGCTTTGAGCTTATAAAAGTACAGCTTTGAATGATCAATTATTTTATATCATAAAAGGAAAAAAATTAAAAACCCAATTGTTTTAATATGATAAAATCAATAAAACTGCAAAATGAACCCTATTCGAATTGAATCTTGAAAGGTGGCAACCCTAGCCTTAGTTCGAATTTGGTTTGTGACAATCTAAGAAAAGTGAAATCGCTCGGAATTCTGTGGTACAGCGGAAATTTTGAAGCGGAAATCCTCTGCGCGGTTCCCCATTTCACTAGTGATTTCTGTGGCACCCCTGAATAAGAGGATTACCAAATTGATGGGAAGGGCAAGGTTTTTATGCTTGCTGCTTGAATCAACAAAGAGACGTTGTACTCTTGAGTTGTTGATAGAGCTGCTGCTTATTTTTTTAGTTCCTTCTCCTTTCAGCAAGTAAGCTAACTTTGGATGACCAATTTGTCGATTACACTACTCGACAAAATTGAATCAACAAAGAGACGTTGTACTCTTGAGTTTTTGATAGAGCTGCTGCTTGTTTTGTTTAGTTCCTTCTCCTTTCAGCAAGTAAGCTAACTTTGGATGACTAATTTGTCGATTACACTACTCGAAAAAATTTAACTTTTGATTTGGGCTGTGAACCAAAATGACAGATAGATAGATTTCGGGATTTAAAAATTTTTGTAGTACTTTATTATTTTTTTTATGGAGTTATTTTTTTTTTAAGAATTTTTAAAATCTGTTATTTTTTTTTTTGGTTTTTTTCAGAGGTAGTGCTTCTATTTTTCACATAACTTTAGTATCTTAGTATCTTGTTGCATAGAACTTTCAAGTTCTGAAAAGCTGATAAACGCAGCTATAAATCCGAATTAGATTCTTTGTATATGCAGCTTAACGACTGAAAGATATTAAGCTTTCAAATTCAAATTTCATAATTTTTCGCGGTTTTTTTTCCGAAATTTTTATTTTAAAAACTCGGGAAAAGTCGAAACAAAAATAATTATTTTCCAACATTTTTAATTTCAGATAGACGCATTTATTAGGCATCGTTTAAGGTACTGCTCATTAAAATCTTTGGATAAACGGTGGAGCTAAAATTCGTTAACCAAACCTCAAAAGTAAAAAAATAGACAAAAAATACTTTTTACCAAAAATTATACCCCTTTTCGTTTGCTTTGTTTCCAATTGGCAGTTGGGCACGCAACCTTCCAAAAAGTAAGAACACGAAATAATAAAGAAACCGATTAAAACTTCAAAGAAACCAAAAACCATTCTATTTCAGTTGCTGGCAGAGTTACTGGTTTTCCCACTAAATTCTTCGCGGATTATAAATAACTTTTAATTCAGGACCCTGGACGGACTGATGCCTACCTCAGCCTGAGATAGGTCCTTACACTATCTGTACAAAGATTACATCAACCTCATCAGATAATTGTGCCTTTAATTTTATCATGTGAATTGACTCATTTATAGTGTCAATAAACATTCCTAACTGCCTAACTAAGTCCACATTTAAATTTTGTAGCTCAAGAAGGCGGTTCATTTGATCGGAAAATATTTTCCTTTTATTTTCATACCACTTAGTTAACATTTCCCAAGCGGTCACATAATTTTCCCCTGAACCTAACAGTAAGTAAGAAACTACATTTCTCGCTTCTCCCTTTAGTGAAATCTTACGGTAATTAATTTTTAGGGTAGGACTTAAATCCTCTCTTATATGAGAAAGTTCGGTAAATAACTCCTAAAACAGGTCCCAATCTTTGAAATCCCAAAGAATGTGGGTACCTTAATTTTTGGAAGTGTTCGCATATCGTCAATTTTTTTTTTAATAATAACTTCTCCCATTTTTGGCACGTTATTCTTAAGTTTTTATACCCGTACTCAAAAAAGAGTTAAGGGGTATATTAGATTTGTGGTAAAAGTGGATGTTTGTAACGCAGAGAAGGAAACGTTTCCGACCCCATAAAGTATATATATTTTTGATCAGCATCAATAGCCGAGTCGATAGAGCCATGTCTGTCTGTCCGTCTTGTTTGACGCCTGGATCTCAGAGACTACAAGAGCTTGGGCAACCAAATTTGGTTTCCAGACTCATGTGATATCACACTGCTACAAGTGTATTTCAAAATTTCGCCCCGCCCCCTTCCGCCACCACAAAGAACGAATATCTGTGGCAGGCACAATTTTAAAGACACGATAAAACTAAAAACGCATTATCGTAGAGAATGACCATATCTACCAGATTGCCGAATCTGAATCAGATCGGATCATAATTATTGCCAGAATGAAGAAATTAATTTTCAGTTGCTTCCCCTGCCCCCTCCTGCCCACGACAACGCAACTCATTTTCCTTCTCGCTCGCACACTCTGCCGCGTTCAGTGTGCGAGCAACCCCTAGCGGAGGAGATGTAGAATCTAAATGGTACATGTATAATCTACATGTTAGATGTAGAATATACATAATATATGTAGATAACAGATGTAGCAAAAAAATGTAAGATGTAAATATTTTTTTTAATTCTAAAATTCTTAGAAATCTTATTCTCAAAAATGTTTATACTGACTGAGTACGGGTATAAGTAGAGTCCCGTCCCCAGAAGCGACTCACACGTTCCTTCTCGTTTCTTCATGATTTTAGTTACAGTTAACACGTCAAATTCCTATTCATTCAAAACATCATCATACATATCAATAGATTCAATCATTTCGTTTTCTTTTATACCAACTACCTTTCTCCAATAAAACATTAATTTTTCTATCCTGAATTCCAAATTTTCATTTTTGCCGTTATCTATAGCATTAAAAGTCTCGTCTAAATAGTTTTTTAACTGCTCTTATGATTTTTGAATTTGCTAACAGTTTTCGTACTATCCATATCGGAACCAGAAATCTTTTGGTTCTGCTCAGAACATGAAGCTTTCTGTTTTTGTTCCATATCGAAACTTTCACTCATCTGATTCTGCCTATCCACTGTACTTTGAATTCTTTCTATTATGCCCATCATAGCTGCATAGTGGTTTTCTTTAAATAGTTGCGATCGACTACACCAATTTTTAAGAGCTTATCGTTGTTATTTATACATTCTGCTCTCAACAATTTAACTTATTTAACCTGCTCACTGCTTAAAGTTTTAAATTCTTCTAATACCCTTATCATGGAAATTATTTCTACCTGACTTTTTATTAAAGCCTAGTACTCAGATCGAAAAACTGTTTTCCAGAAAACGAATGTCATATATTCTTTGAGCAGCCAGTGTGTGACCAGAGGTGTGCACTGTATTCCGAACGGTTACTTTGCTCAGAGAGCTGCTTGGTTTTGTTTAAAGTTAATAAAATGCACTTCTTCGGCTGGGGCCGCTCTTCCCCAGCCATATCCTGGGCTCCCCAATATTTTATTGGCAAGGTAATGTGTCTGACTATCAGCAGCAGCAGATGGCGACGCCTCACGTGCCGGACACCGTGAAGAAAAAATGTTTTGAAAACAATATATTTTTTATATTTATGAAAATTAATAAAAATAATAATTATAATTGTCCATATAATTGACATTCATATAATACTGCATTAGCTAGATTCTATATGTCTTCATTATTAAAATATTTCATTTGGTTTTTTGTTCTTTTATTGCAATGTTTGCTTCGTGTTTGCTGGCAAATTATATCAAATTGATATATTTTTCGAGGTGGGTCGAAACATACCAAAAAAACAAGCATATACTTCGGATACTTTTCCAGTATATACCGACCTTTTTGTTTTTTGATCTGAGTACTGCCCTCAGTACAGAGCCTAGAAAACAGTTTTTGCCGTAAAACATTTCTTATCGGTTTCATACGAATATCAACCCTGATTCTGTTCGCGAGGTGTTTTTTCGATCTGAGTACTAGGCTTAAGGCTATTGTCTCTTTGGACATCATGATGTTTTTTTTTTAATTGGAAAAATGTTAAGTATAAAAATAAGAAAAACTTAAATTTTATCTAAAATTTACTTTACTTTATATATGAATATATATATATATATATTTTTATTTTTAATCTTAAATGAAACTTAGCTCAAGATTCTGAGGTTGTAGTCGGAAGTCGATACTGGCTGCAGTTTGTAGTCTATGGGTCTGTAGTTTGAAGTTGTTGCTGTAGTTTCTGTGCCTGCAGATTGAAATCGTCGCTGTGTGGCTGCAGATCTTAATTTTTTCATTTTGTCGTTGCTGCAGTTGGTGTAGTTGCGGCTGCAATTTATTGTTTTATTTTTTGTTAACTTTGTTATCTTGGTGTTGGTTGATTTCTTTTCTGTCACTGATGATTTTTATAACCGTACTCAAAAAAGAGTTAAGGGGTATATTAGATTTGTGGTAAAAGTGGATGTGTGTAACGCAGAGAAGGAAACGTTTCCGACCCCATAAAGTATATATATTCTTGATCAGCATCAATAGCCGAGTCGATAGAGCCATGTCTGTCTGTCCGTCTGTCTGTCTGTCCGTCTTGTTGAGCGCCTAGATCTCAGAGACTATAAGAGCTAGGGCAACCAAATTTGGTTTCCAGACTTATGTGATATTACACTGCTACAAGTGTATTTCAGATTTTCGCCCCGCCGCCTTCCACCCCCGCAAAGAACGAAAATCTGTGGCTGGCACAATTTTAAAGATGCGATAAAACTGAAAACGCAGTCCACAATAGTCCACTCCAGTTACTTCGAAGGCCTGCGATCCTTTAAGACGCTCCTTAGGCAAGTCTCCCATAATGTGCTCAACCATGCGCGGCCTCGTCCTGAAGCTTCTTACACACTTGCTAACCGCTTTCGAGACGGCTTTGATTCCTCCAATAGGCCAATATTCTAATCGAATTTTAGGAAGCAAGGTGCGAGGTCCGGCATGGAGGTTCCGTTGATGATAGTAGCTTATCATTGCAGATTTTAAAGGATGTCCCTTGGGCAAAATAAGCGGGTGCTGAGCATTTAACGGGAGCGATGAGTTGCCGAGACGACCTCCAACTCGAAGTAAACCAGACGGATCGATGAACGGAGATAGCGAACTGATGGAGCTAGACTTCCTGACTTGCCCATTGCGTCTAATCTCCTTTATGTCCGACCACAAACTTGCCAGCTGAACGTGTCGAACAAGAAGATGCGTTCCTTGCTGTATGTCAGAAACCGTGAGTCCAGGATGCCTAAGACGATGAACGAATTTATGCATGTAGGCGAATGTGCGCTGCATGCCAAAGAAAGAATTAGCATATTTGCATCCGGACGTGAGATCGGCATGTGGAGACGCGATCAGCAATACACGCTTGCGAAGCTCAATGGTCGGAGTTTCAGAAACGGCAGATACAGGCCACTCATCCTTAGTACCTAACAAAAACGAGGGGCCGTGAAACCACAGATCTGACTGGATGAGGTAGCTGGGAAGCGAGGCTCTGAAGAGGATATCAGCGGGATTCAACAATGTGGGAACAAAGCGCCATTCCATGCCTTGCGTCAACTCCTGAATTGTTGACACGAAAACCTGAAATTTGGCTGGCTCATCCCGAATCCAAGATAACGCCGTAGATGAATCCGACCAGCAGTAAAACTGACCTGGAAAATTCCCGTCTCCTCTAAGTTGCGCATAACCTTCGCAAGCAAATGGGCTCCACTCAATTCCAGCTTTGGAATCGACAATGATTTTAGTGGCGCCACTCGAGACTTTGAGCACAAAACATTGCTCGACGACTCCCCTTGCCTGGACACGGTAAGCACCATATGCTTCCATGCTGGCATCACAAAATCCATGAACCTCTACAATTGTGCTGGAATGATGGACAACGCTAGGAAAGGAAATGCGAGAGATGCTTGCCAAACTGTTTCTCAGGTCAATCCAAGTTGAGTGCAGCGCTGTCGGTAGGCTTTCATCCCAGTCCAAATGTTCTCTCCAAAGCTGCTGAAGAAAGATATTGTACCTGACAATAACAGGATTAATCAATCCAAGAAGGTCGTAGAAACGCGCAATAGTTGACAAAACCGACCGCTTGGAGGGCCTTGAATTCGAGTCCAGCGCGGACAAGGCAAACAGCAGCTGATCCGACGCAGGGTCCCAAGCTTAACCAACAGTTTTGGTAATGTCGCTTCCATCATGAAACCGTAGAAATTTCTCCACGTCGTCCTCCGGAATTCCATCAAGCACCTCCTGGTTAATCCAGCACCATTTTCTTAAAGTTACCGCAAGACAGTAGACTTGAAGTTTGGCGCATCTTTTCCATGACCTCTGCGACCGAGTTGCCGCCAGAGATGAGATCATCAACATAGAACTCCTGTTGCAGAGCAGCTAAGCCAAGAGGGTAGGGATTACCCTCGTCGATGGCCAGCTGGTGCATTGCGCGGACCGCTAAAAACGATGCAGCCCTCGTACGTTATGTGATGGTGTCTAATGTGTAGACCTGAACCTCGGACTGTATGGAGTCTCGCCATAGGATACACTGAAGAAAATTGTCGGGTGGAAATACCTTTACGCAGCGGTACATTTTACAAATGTCACCAGTGAGAGCGACGGGATATGTGCGGAACCGGATCAGTATGTTAAACAATGCTGGCTGAATAACAGGACCTGTCATCATCACATCATTTAAGGAGCATCCAGTTGATGTAGCTGCAGAGCCATCGAAAACGACACGGAGCTTTGTCGTGGTACTATCCTCCTTTAAAACGCAGTGATGAGGCAGAAAATACTTGCAGAGGCTACGTGAGTCAGGATGGACTTTGGACATATGCTTTAAATCAGTATACTCCTTCATAAAAGCTGAGTAACGCTCCTTGAGCGCGGGATTACGATCCAGTTTTCGCTCCAAGCTGAGAAATCGTCGATACGCCTGAGTATAGGACTCTCCCAAGTGATCAGCATCATGCTTTAAAGGCAGTCGAACAGAGTACTTCCCTGATGGCAACTGTGAAAAGTGGCTTACGAAATGCGCCTCACAATCCGCTTCTTCCTTTGTACTCAAGCTAGCCTCCGATCCAACCTTGCATTCATTCTATCCTCCGAATCCGGAGAATTTTGGGTTGCCAAAAGCGACGAGCTTGATACCCTCTGTCCACCACCAGATACGATCCACCCAAGCCGGGTCTTCTGCAGAGGAAGCAATCCATCTATGAGCCTGATTTGCCCTACGCAGAGAAGTTCATAGAATATGCGATAAGAGCAGTGAGTGTGGTCGAATAGTCCGAAGTGCGAGACTGCATGCAAATGCTGACGGTGGATCCCTAAGTGGACACGCTAGTATCGCCCAGACCAGAAACAAGGGCAGACGATTGAGTTCTCCTAAGCTGAAGCTGGGCGAACCTGGAGGTAACGAGATGAAGCTGAGATCCTGAATCTAGAATAGCGCGACAAGGAACCAAAACGCCAGATCGATTCTTCACCAAAACAACAGCTGTGGCCAGCAGCACAATATCGGAGTGGAGACCTTGGGCAGCAAGAGAGGTAGACGCATGAGACGGCACACTGCTGGCAGAATCCTGAACCGGCGAACCAGGTGCTACCTGGTTGTACTGCTCGTTCTGGAGGCGAAACAGCTGGGGACCTTTGCGCTATAGATGAGTCGAAGTGCAACAAGGTATGATGCCTCCTTCCGCAAACTCTACACTGGCCACCTGTACATGCACGAGTCCGATGACCCGATTTTAAGCAGTTAAAGCACAGTGACAGCTTCTTCACTTCTTTGTGACGCATAAAAGGAGATAAATTTGTGAAGATGCTGCACGAGTATATTCCGTGGCTGGCTGAATGGCAGAAAGGGCATCCAGACGGGTCGGCGGAAGAGTTAGAGGCAAGAAAGGTTTTCTTAAGGTGTGTAGACTGGCTTTTTCCCACCTGACCGCTACCAGCGTGTGTCGCTACAGCGTATTGAACGTTCTCCATCTTCTGGCATCGCTTCTCCAGGAAATCGTAGAATTCCCCAGCTGTGGGTATCCTGTCCGATGACGCAGTCTCTTCCCATTTGGTTTGGGTCTTCTCATCTAGCTTTTGCAGCAGCATGTGGATTATCATGCATCCAGATATCTCCTCAGCTTTATGTCCTTATGTCTACAGGGCGCGCGTATGCAAGTTGACTGCGTCCGAAAACTCCCGAAGCCTTTTAGCAGAATGCGAATCTACCTTCTTGAGCCCATGAATCTCCTTGATGTGTGCCTGGAAAACAATTCGTTTATTATTAAAACGTCTGCTAAGTATGTCCAGAGCCACACGATAATTGGCACTGGAGAGCTCCAAAGATCGAACCGAATCCTGGGCCGCATCCGAGAGACATGAGCGAAGATGTTGGAACTTCTCGATTTCACTGAGATCTGCATACCCTTCGATGACCGAATTGAACATGGCAATAAAATCCGCATATTCCACATAGCCACCGGAGAAGCTAGGTAGCTTCAGCTCAGGAAGCCGCTGCTTGTGAGCCATGATGATGGTATGACCTCCAGAGCTATTTGGCATGCTAGTGGAATGAGCAGCTACGCGCAAATGTCCTAGTTCGATAACCGCCAGCAGCTCGGCTTTCAAAGAAATGAAGAGCGTATCGAAGGTTTCACGCAGCTCACTTCCAATCTCGTTTTCATCCAGTGATTCCAACTCATTATGGGACTTGTTGAACTCCTCACGCATTTCAGCCAACATATCGAGGCGCACATCTATATCAGCCGCACTTAGATTGTCGATTTTATTCCCCGAGAATGACTGGCCAAGACGCTGCAGCCGATCATGCAGAGACTGAACTTTACGCTTGTAAAGCCTCAGCCTTTTTTCCTCCATCGCAATATTTCCGCCCGCACCTGTATTCGGCTCTTTGTCCATGCCAACCGGTGTAATACAACGAAACAACGGAAAATGTAAGACCGCTTAAGCGACGGCGAAAGAACGGGAACGAGAATAGAAGACACGGAAAGTCAAGGGCCGCGGCTGCAGCGACGCAGAGCAAGAGAGAATCGGCGATTAAGCAACGGAATATTAGACGGCTGCAGTCTCAGTGAACTTGCACTTTACCTGTTCTTTTTTGCACAAAATGTATTTGTTGGTCGTTAAACGGCACAGCAACGAATATCTTATTCGATTTTTATAGTTTTTAAACGAAACGCGATTAAAAATTGTAGTTAAATCACGTCGGGGTCACCAATTGTTCAGAGTGAGGATGGCGCTGGCGGGGCAACCCCTTTGTGGGCATTCCAGCCCATAAGAGCGGCTTTATATTCTTATATATGTACTTATTCCTTCATTCTGTGCCATCCGTTATCCGTGTCTCTTCTTTTTTCGACACCGCCATATTATCGGCGATTCCTGCCGTTCTCCCGTCATTCACCTCCAACTACCAGTGATACGGTAGTTTTTTCGATTCCTTGTGTCTGTCCATGATTTGCGGACAAATTCAATAAATAAAAATTAAAACAAAAAAAAAGTGCATTCCGAGCATACATACATACATACGCACATTCCAGCCCATAAGAGCGGCTTGCGTACATACACATACACACACATCTACATCCGTGTCTCTACAGGTGCATTCCAGCACGACCCACCCCAATAAAATATACTTTGGCACACTCCGAGTGCAACTACAATCACATCAATACCTATAAACACATATATATTTATTGCCATATATTCATACATTTATTCCCATAGTTGGCCGCAATATATCGCCAACTATATACAAAACAGAACTCCATACAAAAAAATACCACTCCCCGTAGAAAAATACCGCACTCCATACTACACACATACTCCGCGCAAGTGCCATATTTAATATCAAAATCGTGATTTCGGGCATCTCGTGTATTCCAACGACTTTTATCGATCGCTACCACAACTCCAACCTTTTCCAATTTCCAAATAAATTGCTCGCGACCAAGGCACGGCGCACTAAGAGTAATTATTTGGTATTTTAACCCGGTTCTGCTTACGATTGCGTCAAAGGGGTAAACGGAGGATCATCGCACTAACAATATTTTCCGAAATATTGCCACCATCAGTGTGACCGTTCCTCTCCTCAGCTCGGCTCAATATAAGGTCACTCATTGTTTGGGACCTCCCACCTACAGGTGATCTCAAACAATCCGAGTCGATCTGATTATTGCTTTCCTGCTAGCTTGAGGCCTTTTTCTCTGCCAGCCTTCCGTAATTGGGTTATCATTTCGAAAGGAGTTGGTGGCCTGACGGTTTTTTCGGGTCACTTCGACTAAGACCCGTCTCCTGTCTCTCCAAAACTTCCAAGTCCGATTCTCTGTGCGTGTGTGAGTTCGGAATATGCCAACAGGTCACAAGGACGGCAACCAGCTTTTGCCTGTGATCTCTTCCAACCGGCTACGCACCTCGTCCGCCTCTGGAACTACGCCGACTCAGAAAATCAAGGCACCCCTCACTCCGAGAGCAGCCAGTAGCAGCCCTGCGGCAAGGACCAAATCGGTTTTGTTCCCGTCTCCTGTCACTCTTAAGGTTCCAGCTGTGACCAAACAAGATCCGAAGGGCTCCTTCGTCAACAGCCCCGTCAGCTCTCGCCACTGTATCACAATGGCTCAATCCGCCACCGAAGTCGCTCGGACCAGATTGGTCGCCGCTATTGGCCGATTGATGCACCTGGCAGAGCGCATCACCGCCGCCCCATCCGCCTCTCTGTCCGAGGTCCGTCGTGGCCAAATCCTCAGCATGTGGACGGACGTCGAGGCCGAATATAAGGCCTGCTCCGCGGTGATGACGGACGAGGTGCCAGAAATCCAAGCGGACATCCGTGACACATACGGCGAATGCTATGGGGTTTTTGAGCAGTGACCTCAATGCCCAACTGGCTACATCCACAGTTGAGCGACCGCAGGGAATTGTCTGTGCCCTTCTCACAGCTAAAACCCGCGTGGCCCCCGTGAAAACGGTTTCCTTGCCTCGACTCGAACTGTGCGGAGCCGTCCTTCTGACAGAGCTTTCCGAGACCATACTTCCACAACTGCCACTGGACACCAGCCAAGTATCCTTCTGGACCGATTCCACGATTGTGTTGGCCTGGCTGAACCGACCTGCATGCGATTGGACCACTTTCGTGGGCAATCGAGTAGCCAAAATCACTAGATGTTGGCCCAGCGAGCGATGGAGCCACGTCCGATCCGAGGACAATCCGGCCGACCTGGCCAGTTGAGGGCTAGGACCCTCTGACCTGGTTGGAAGTGATATGTGGTGGCATGGCCCTGCTTGGTTGCGTAGTCCAAAATCGGAATGGCCATGTCCGTGGGACTCAGTCCTTGAGACTGACCTGGAGAAGCGAGTCGTCAAGGTGTACCATGCCACTTTTTTCAGCCTTTTTTCCGACCTCGGGCGCGCTCTGCGCGTGATCGCCTACGTTCGGCGGTTCACTCGGCGAGTTAAAGGGCAGACGACCCATGTCTCCAAGGAGCTGAACGGAAATGAGGTCGCTGCCGCTCTCCAGGCGGTCACACTGACAACCCAACGCTTCCATTATGCTGGGGAGCATCGGTGCCTGCTAAACAAACAGCCACTCCCTACTACGAGTTCTCTTCTGAATCTTAATCCGATCCTTGACCAGAACGGAGTCATGCGGGCATGTGGCCGAGTCCAAGCCTCGGCGTCCATGTCCTACAACGAACGGCATCCAATCCTGTTGCCACCCGCATGTCTCCTGGTTCGCCTGCTGGTTCGATTCACTCATCATATATCGCTACATGGTGGGAGCCAGCTGGTCATTCGCCTTATCCGGGCAACATACTGGATCCCTCGACTACGTCACGTAGTGAGGGCAGTGATTAATTCTTGTAAGGTCTGCGTCCTCCATCGTAAACGACTCCAAACCCAACTAATGGGCGACCTTCCTGCATCACGAGTCACATTCTCCAGACCGTTCACATACACCGGAGTTGACTTTGCCGGCCCCTTCGACGTTAAAAGCTTCACAGGTCGCGCCTGTCGCATCTCAAAGGGGTATGTGTGCGTGTTCGTCTGCTTTTCCACGAAGGCCATCCACTTAGAGGCCACGTCCGACTTATGCACCGAAACCTTCCTAGCCGCCTTCGCTCGTTTCGTGGCGAGACGAGGGTGTCCTCATGAAGTTCAATCCGACAACGGAAGGAATTTTGCCGGCGCGTCCCGCTCTCTGGCTGTGGATCTTCTCGAGGCACTTCGCACTCGGACTTCTGCGGTGTACAGCCAGCAGGGGCTATCGTGGCGGTTTATCCCTCCCCGAGCCCCACATGGCTTGTGGGAAGCAGGTGTGAAGAGCTTCAAGGCTCTGTTCCAACGGTCGATGTGTACGTCCAAATACACATTAGAGGAGTTCGCGACCTTACTTTCGAAAATTGAGGCATGTCTTAACTCGCGACCAATCTCTCCTATGTCTGAGGATCCAACGGATCCGTTGGCCTTGAGCCCAGGCCATTTCCTGATTGGTGGTCCGCTACTATCCGTGGCAGAGCCAGAAATACAAGCGAGCGCCTCCTCCATCCTAAACCGCTGGCAACATCTCAAGGCTCTCAACCAGCAATTCTGTTCGCGCTGGAAGACAGAGTACCTGCGAGAGTTGCACAAGCGCAACAAATGGCAGCATACGACAAGAGACCTCGAGGTTGGAGACCTCGTGGTGATCAAGGAGGAGAACATCCCCGCTCAGGAATGGCGTCTCGGCCGTGTGCAGAACGCGTATCCTGGAGCCGATGATAAGGTCCGTGTGGTAGACCTACTCAAGGCCCGCGGCCTTATCAAGAGACCGATCACGAAGGTGGTTCTGCTGCCTATGGAATCGGATGTCCTGTCCACCTACTCGCGCGGAGGCTCCGATTCATAAGCCTTCGTCCTTTTGTTCTGCTTAAATCCAACGTAGTTATCCGTACCCGTATCCGTATCCGTATGCCAACCCATGCCAGCTCTTTACTAATGCTCCGGTGATTCCTTTTCTCATCCTAGTTTTTTCCAGAAGGCAGCTATGGCCCCTCAAACCTCATCACGTTCCCGATCCAGCCGCAGGTCGGATCGCTCACGGGCACGAGGAAAGACTTCCTTCCAGTGTCGAGTGTGTCCCGGAGTTCACCCGCTGAGGAACTGCCGGAAGTTTATCCGGTTGAGCGTCGAGAAGAGACTCCGAGCCGTACTCCTGCATCGGTATTGCTCGAACTGCCTGGCTCACGAGCACTCGGGCAAGGACTGCCGCAGTGGAGACCTATGTAAGGTGTGCTCCCGGAACCACCACACTCTGCTCCACCTGCCCGGGTCTCGGCGCCCTGCTGGCTCCTCTTCGGCTCCGTCGACTTCACCTCCGTCTCGGCGTCCTGCTGGCTCCTCTTCGGCTCCGTCGACGTCACCTAAGTCTTCCCGCGCCAACCCACGCCCTCGTCTTCCGGTCAGCCGCCCTGTCGTTGGAAATCCGGTCCCGACAGCAAACTCCTTGCTCCAGCACCAGAGCATCAACGTCCTCCCGACGGCGATGGAGGTCCTCGCAGGCACTCAGGTGATGAGTGCGCTGATCGACCCCTGCACGCCGGTCAGCTGCATCGACGCCGAGGTGGCTAGGGAGCTGAAATTGCCCACTACCTGCATCGGGGACGAGCGGGTGTGCACAGCCATGATCCGGGCGAAGATAGGAGATTTTAAAGTGGAGGCAGTCTTCAAGATCGAGCCCCGTCTGCGCGTCCGTACGCCGATCCGTCAACTGAGCGACACCGTCCGTGCTCGTTTCGACGACTTAAGGTTGGCCAACGAGCAATTCCACAAGCCGACGACCATCTCGCTCGTCTTGGGTGCGGACTTGTATCCCAGGGTCATCCAACCTGGGTTCCTCGCCCGCGCAGACGGCCTTCCCGTGGCGCAAAGCACGGTGTTTGGGTGGATCGTGTCTGGTGCATGCACGCAGACTTAAAAAATCTTTGCACTCCTGCAAGGGGGGGGAGAATGTTCAGAGTGAGGATGGCGCTGGCGGGGCAACCGCTTTGTGGGCATTCCAGCCACACATCGCTGTTAGCGTTCCAGCTACACAAGCGGTCGCCCTCGCTCTCGCCCTCGTACTTAAGAGCATTTTTCCCCCCGGCGACGCGCTCTCGCGCATTATATTCACCACCCTTGCGCTCCCGCCCACGCTCACGTTCCCGCTCTCGCGTCCGACAGCCCTCGGCAGCTTGAGCGCCACCGATCTCAATTCAATGCGCTTCTTCACCCACAAGCAAACGGTTTTGCACGCGAGACATATCCATGTACATAATATAAGCCTACGAAATATATACTGAAGAAACTTGGACCTGCCTCTTGTATTTATCTGTGGGAATTTATCTGTGGAACCCCGAAAGCCCCTACGCTCAAACACCAATGTTTGAGATGCCAAGCTTTTTTGGCACCTATATTTATCCAAAATCAATTAAAGACCTTTGATTTAATACGTTATAATGTTTATTTTATTTATATATGTGGCAGGCACATTTTTAAAGATACGATAAAATTAAAGACGCGTTATCGAAGAGAATGACCATATCTACCAGACTGCCGAATCGGATCACAATTATAGCCAGAATGAAGAAATTAATTTTCAGTTGCTTCCCCTGAAGCGCGTCCTGCACACCATGCAAACTCATTTTCCTTCTCGCTCGCACACTCTGCCGAGTTCAGTGCGCGAGCAACCACTAGCGGAGGATATTTAGAATCTAAATTGTACATGTATAATCTACATGTTAGATGTAGAATATACAAAGTATATGTAGATAACAGATGTAGCAAAAAAATGTAAAATGTAAAATTTTTTTTTTATTCTAAAATTCTAAAAAATCATAAGCTCAAAAATGTTCGGCTAAGTGCAGACCCATGGCAGCACAAATAGAAGCATAGCGATCATTATAACAAAAACTGGTAATTATAATGAACTAAATTAGCAGTAGTTTGAGAAAACAATCACAAAACCACATATGTATCGTCTGAACGATGCGTATCTGAGAAGCCTGCGAGGTTTATATTCTAATATGTAGCCTCCGTATTTATTCGATGGCCAACCGACTCGGTAAAAGCATTTAATTAAGATTACCGTAAAATTCAGAGATCTGTTTTTTTGAACAGTTGATTGCTGCCATGCACGGAGAGTTGCCAGACAACTTCTAGAGTTGCCGAGTACATTGTTTTGTTTGACTCGCACGATATGGGATGTTTTTTTGCTTTGAAATTATAAAATTAGAGCTTTGAAAAATCAATTATTTTATATTTTAAAAGAAAAAATAAAAACAAATTTTTTTGATATGATAAAATAAATAAAACTGCAAAATGAAAATGAATTGAATCTTGAAAGGTGTATGTCTACCCTAGCCTTAGTTCGAATTTGGTTTGTGAGAAAGCTAAGAAAAATGAAATCACTCGGAATTCTGTAGCACGGCGGAAATTTTGAAGCGGAAATCCTCTGCGCGGTTTTCCATTTCACTAGTGAATTCTGTGGCACACCTGTATATTTGTTAGGTGAGTCTCTGATATAAGCATGGCGTCAATGTCGTGTTGAGCGAGGAACTGTAAGAGCTCGCATTTCTGCTTCGAAATGCCAATTTCATTCCAGAAATATATATTTAGACAAGCCATTTAAACAGATTTCTGTTTGATTAGGAACTCCAGGAGGAGATTTTGGTTGCGCATAAGCTCCTGCATCGTTTGTTGTATTGCTACCATTGTGTTTGTTATAGTTACCAGCATTGACTCAATTCCACTAGGCAATTGGGATGGATTAGCAGGGGTATGTTGGGCAGAGATTTCTGGGATCTGATTTGATGCATGATGCTGCATTATTCCTGCTGTGGTTGGTTGAAGTGTCGGCTTAGAGACTTAGGCGTAAGTTGTTGTAACTTAACGCCTGAGCAAAAGTAACTCCTGGAGTCGTAGTTGATGGTATATATGGTAAGTTTTGTCGGATGAACGGGCTTTGAGCTGCAGTTATTTGTTGGCTTAGGCGATTTTTCAATTCTTTATAGACAGGACAACCTCTACAGTTGGTAGTATGGTTTTCCACACAGTTGCTACATTTTTTGGCAGATGGGTCCTCCTTATTTACGGGGCGGACCTCAGTGAGATAAACATCACCACAGGCAATGCAGACTGCCCGTAGAATGCAATAACTTTTCGTGTGTCCATATTCCTGGAAATTTGTGCATTGGACGGGTCCATTTCGTTTGTGTGGTTCCGCAACGGTGATCCTACGGTGCAGTAGATATTGAAGCTTGTAGATTGGGTGAACTTTATTTTTTCTTATATGCATACTGTCAGGTGTCAGTTCTCCCTTTAACATTGGTTGGGGAATATTATTTCTATTTATTATGTTCATAGCCGTTTTGACTTCGAAGCCTTTATGGTTAAGTCCATCCCATATCTCAATGTTTGGGACTGTTGGTTCGATTCCTTTGATAACCACTTGTAGTCCTTTGCTACTTTTAAGTCGGTAGGTGTAGGAATTCATATTTTCATTTTCGAGGTATTTCGCAACTGATCGATAGTTTTGTAGGTCATTGACTTGTATTTTTGTTTCATTTATGTTACCCCTTTTTATGGACGTGACTTGATCAGTTATTTTTTTAGCCAGTTCAGCACAACTTTCCTGTCGAATATAAATAGGTGGCGGTCTTAATTTGTTGGCCTTGGGTGTTTGGGCGATTTCATCTTCATTTGGGACACTTAGTATTGCAAATCTATTGTTTGCTAGTGCCTTATTTGACACAGCGTTCTCGGTTATTTTAATTATTTTAGCTGCATTGTTGTTCATCGCAGTTTGTGGGCTCAATTTTCTTTTGATTTGCACAGCCCAGTCTGAATTAATGCTCCGTTAGCGTTTTTCGAACTTATTGGTTGGGAGAGGTGACGCTTGTCGTATTGGGTCGACAGTATCGGGCGCTGACAATTGCAGTTTTGTGGTTGTTGTCGTTGTTGTGGTCGAAGATACAGTTTTGAGAGAGGGCATTATACTAGTATTTGTCGATATTAGCAAATCGCTGGTTAGGCAGTACGAGTCGGGGGATGGGCACTGAGCACTCCATGACCCACTTTGCAATGCAGGGGAGAGAGAGCGTGCTCTCTCCTCGTTAACTTTCAGTGATGCAGTTTTTGTTGGTACTGATGCCTTTGGCGAGCGTATAGAGAAGTACGCGTTGTTTTTTGCTTGCGAGAGCCGACGCTCGTCTTGTTGCTGTTGCCGGGCTCGGCTCATTGTGGCTTTGGTTACAGTGCTTAATAAGATAACTACGCAGATGATGCTCCAACAACGACCAGCTATATTCGTGGCAAATTGGATCACCAAGATTCAGGCATTGACTAACCAATTACAATGGCGTCATTTTTCATCAGCCAACAACGCATTCTTGCGCGGATCAGGACATAAACGGACAAAAACACCCATCATTGAGCCCAGCAATCTCCAGAGAAAGGCTAAGCATTTCAGCTTACAAATCGCATCTAGCTCTCTTGGAAAAGAGAGTTCAACAAACTACAACGTATTATAGCGTACATGTTTTGCTTCTGCTACAAAACTAATACAGCGCCTAAAACGACAATTTGCGCAGGAGAACTAAATCGTGCTCGCGCAATGATCCTGCTAACCTCAACAAGTCGAGTTCACAGCATACTTAAAACAGTTAAGACGCTATAAGACAGTATATAAAAACAGTTCGATAATATAGCTATGTTGGCGGAAGACTAGAAGAAGCTCTAATTCCGTACAATTAAAAACATCCAGTCCTGCTAACGTACAACGACCCAAAAGTCAAAATGATTATGCGATAACTCCATGAGGAAAATCTGCATTGCGGTGCCCAAACATTAAGGAAAATTGAAGGACAACAA